GAGCTCCCACAGTCTTTAAGTTCCTACCCACCCAGTCTGCCTTCTCCTTCTTCCTTAGGTGTGAGGTTCTGTGCCCCCTAATCGCATCCCCCACCCCATCCTGCCCCAGCCAGATGTGAGCTTCCTGGGAACCTACTGGTCTCTTCATCTGCTCCTGGCAGGGGACCTAGAGCAGAGGCAGGCAGGCAGCTGCTGAGTGAGAAGGGAGGATGTGGGAGGGGACCTCAGTGCAGTCACCGTGGGGTGCCCCACAGGTGGTGAGCAGTTCTGAGTAAGCACCACCAGAAGCTGGTGACGCAGGTGGAGATCTTTGCTAGCAGGGCCTGCAGTGGGTCCCCGGACTGCCACCCCTCCCTCTTCCCCTCTGATTTTCTGTGTCAAGCACTCAAGCAAGAGTTGGGGAAGGGACTTCACGAAGTATGAAAGCTGGGCTGAGTGGATTTCTGGTAACTGACACAGGGAAGTTAGGGAGGGACAGTTTAATGTGGGTGATGACGAGAGTGGGTCTGGAGAGTGGAAGGTGCGGGCAGAGAAGGTAAGGGTTGGTACTGTCCCAACTCTCCCACTTTCTTCTGTGTGACCTTGGGCATGTCACTCAACCTTTCTGGGCCTGGATGGTGAGAATCACATGTAAGGCAAAGCACTTGATCACGTCATTCATTCATTCATTCACTCATCCATCCTCCCAAGTTCTTAAGGCATAGCAGATGCATCATAAATGTTGGACTTTTCCCCTTACCCAGACTTAGAAGCAGCTCAAACTCCAACTCAGAAAAGTTGGAGATGGGAGGCTTAGGCTAATGGCACTGATTCCATAATCAGGTCATAAAGGGCTCCATAGGCTGGGAGATGGAGAGGAGTTCCAGGTCACCCCCTTCCCTCACTATACACCTGAATTGTGCTGTTGATGAAACTGACCGAAAAGGCAGAGATGAGCCAAATTCATTTTTATTTGGATTAGCCCTGGAAGGCTTCCTGGAGGAGGGGGTTTTCCTGGAGCCATGTGGTTGGCTTATCATTGAAACCCACAAACTAGAGTGTTTATGTGTTGGTGGGGACAGGTGTGTGCCAGGCATCGGGAGGGCCCTCTGACAGAGATAGGAGGCTAAGGAGGTCACTGCTAGTCCCTCTCCCACATCCCTCCAGGTGCACTGTGGCCAGCTGAGTGACAGTGAAGAGTGGAGCCTTCAAGCAGTGGAGAAGCATGTGAGTGGGGGTAGGGGTGGGGTAGGATGGGGACTGCTGAAGACACTCATCACAATGGGCAAGAAGATGATCTTGCCAGGGAGCTGGGTTCCAGTCCACCACCTTTGGGCTGTGTGACCTTGAGGAAGTCACTTAACTTCTCTGAGCATCAGTTTCACATTTGAAAATGAGATAAGGAAAGCACTGACCTACTTAGGGTACTGGTGACACAAGGTGAATCAAATATCTTGTCAGTACCTAGGAAGGACTATCTACATAATGATATTGAGGCTCTTTCCTGAGATTTTATGTTGTAACTTTAACAAGGGATTGGAATTCCCTGCAGGTGCTAGAGACACAGGGAAATCTGAGCTTGTGCTGTCTAGGAAGTCGGGCTGGAGGTGGAGACTGGAGGGAGCGACACGCCAGAGGCAGAGGGAGCCCACGGGCGGGTGGAGCGCGGAGGAATGAGTGGTTTGGGACGCGGGTGAGGGCGACGGCGCCGCGGGCGTTGGGAATGGCTTGAGCAAAGGCGGAGAGTCCCGAGGCGGGAGCGCGGCAAAGGCGGGGCGAGCGGCCAGCTGACCGCTTGGCCCGCCCCAGACCCTGGTGGCCCTGCGGAGGGTGCAGGCCCTGCAGCAGCGCCGGCCCGGCGTGGCCCCCGAAGCTGTCCAGACGCCCCCGGCGGGGACGGCGGGAGACGAGAAGGGCCGGGCGGCGTA